GAATGCAGCCCAGCCCCCAGCTCCCTTCGCAAAGGAGGGCTAATTCCCTCTCAGCCAGGAGGCTGCTCCTTGCACCTGGAGGGTGAGAGCTCCTAATGACACCAAGAATCCCTCTGCCTCCCAAACATGTGTGCACTGGCCTCTTAATCCAGCTCTCCTCAGCCAAGCTATAGGCCAAGCCCCAGAAGAGCTGGCCATACTCCACACATGGCCTAAGCAGGGCCTGGCCCATCTTGCACTCAGATCTCATTTGTAGGCTGTGCCAAGGAGAGATGAGATCACCCACCTGCTCTCTGCGACGGGGCCTGCTGGGCTGAGTGCACACTGATGTAGGAGGGGAACAGAGGCAGTGAGCAGTGTATGGCCAGGGCCAGCAGCTTCCCTCTAGAACCACTCTAGCTAGAGCAGTTTGTTTTGGGAGTCTTAGGTCCCTATCCGAGGAGTTTTCTCCCATCCCCTCTCTGTCCCTCTCTTTAAGGTCAGAAGACCGAGAGCTTGGCTCAGGGTGCCAGCAGACTCCATATGAGGCATAGTTTGGACATTACAGATGTTTTTGTCCCCCTCCCAGGACACAGTCTAACCCATGAACTGTCCTTACGTCACTCTTCTGAAAAGGAAAGATATATGGTTCCCATTGTACAGATGGGAAAACTGAAGCACTGGGATGAGAGGAAGTCATTTCCCTGAGACTGCAGGGAAAATCAGTGGCAGAGCTGGGCTTGATAACAACTCCTGGCTCTTAGCCCTGGGCTTAATTCACTGGGATGGGGACTTTAGGAAGTAGCCCAGGCCCTGGCAGAAAGTAGTATGTTTGCAAACAGCTAATGCCCTGCTGAGATGCACACACAACTCCTCTCTGCCCTGGGTAAGAGGCATAATCAGCCAGAAGCCACTTCCTCATGGTGGGGAGCTCTCCCAGCAATGTCTCATGTCACTGGCAGGAACCAACTGCTCTGGTGGGCCAAGCCACAGCTCTACTATGAGCATGAAAGCCAAAGAGCAGCCATTTCACTCATGCCCCTGCTGCAAACAGGTGGGAGGATGCCAAGGGAGCCCAGAGCCCGTGACAGCGCAGTGCCAAGTGAGAACCCAGTGCTAGGGAGAAATCTGATGTCCATATCTCCTTACCCTTCCCCCCCCCAATCTGGACCATATGAACGCTCCTCAGGCTCTGTTTGCTCCCAGGTTGCCCATGAGTCAGACACCCTGAGCAGAGCATTAGAGAAAGTGCTGGGACCTCCAGGGGCCAGATATTGGCAGCATGAGTAGCAACGTACTCCCATGTGCCAGAGCCCTAGTCTACACTGGGACAGAGCTCACAGTAGTGCATGTGGGTTGGGGAGAATCTCAACTCACATTGTTCTTAAAAAAGGAAGTTCCCAGCCCTTCTGGAAAGACACTGCAAAATGGGAAGCATGCAGGACCTGAAAGTTTGGTTCACAAATGCTCAGGCAGAGGAAGATTTCCCCCCACCCAGTCTTGATTTTTAACATTTTTTATTATTTTTGAGCATTTGGGGTTAACAGTAATGGATAAATGCAGCCCAGATCCTACTTCCTCCCTGCTCCATATCAACCTCCTCTTCCCCACTCCTCTCCATTCTCCTTCCTCAGGGCTTTTCAACCTTCCTCCATGCCCATCTTCTGAAGGAAAAACCTTAGGACTCTGGACAGGAGGTCCCAGGCTCCCTCCCTGCATCAACAGCCACAGCGTTTCTCTTGCACTAGCTTATTCCCAAGGGACACTGTCCCCATGGAGGGTGATCCCTGGTGGCTGTTGGGAAGGAGCAGGTTGAAGCCCAGTCTCAGTGGCTCTTGTAGCACAGGAAGAACTAATGCAGTGATTCTCAAGCAGGGAACTGTGGCACCCTGGGATGCCTTGAGATCCTTTCAAGGGTGCTGTGGGGTGCTACACAATGTCAGCACTGTTAGGCGCACAAACACAATACACAAGATAAACCCTGAGATTTCCAAAAGGAATCCACAGCGTTAAAAACATTTCAACTTGTGGCTTTTCTGACTTCTTTGCAAGAAAAAAATTGCTCTACTATTTTTCCATAGTCAAAAAATGAGTGAAAAATGAAGAGCTGGCATTTTCCAACGGGGTCTTGACTGTAACAAGGGGTGTCTCACATCTAAAAACGTGGAGAACCACTGGTCTAGTGGCATCCAACTTCTAGGGACAACAGTGAAGCTTCTTTTGAGGTTTCTTTCATCCTGCTCTGACACTGCCACCCTCATGCTGGAACAGCCCTGCCCTTGCTGGCGAGTCACCATTATTAACTGCTCAGCTGGGGGCAGAGCCGGCTCTCCCACGCAGGCCCTGTGATAAAGTGATCACCCACAAGTGCAATGAGCAAGGAGGTGGCATGTGTCAGAGTCACAGCAGATCTCTGTCTGCTGCCATCAGCCCCTTCTGACAGGAGGCTGATGGAGAAACCAGGATCATTGAGGTGTCCCCTGGGGACTCTGTAGGTGCCCCACAGCACACAGGCCCTGAGCAAAGCTGAGGGTGAAGGGGTGAGGAAGGCTTTTGGGGACAGAGGTAAAAGCCAGATTCATTGAGAAACTGCCCCAGCCCTCCTCCCCCTCACCTACACCTCCAGCTGCTCTGCACTTGGCTCCGGCTTCCCCCAGGGCTTGTTCTCTTTGCCCCTCGCCCTCCATTCCCGGCTGGAGCCCCGTCAGCAGCCTCACTTGCACCCACTCTGACCTCGTTCATTCCTGCACCCCGCACACAAAGCAGCTCCTGTGCACAGAGAGAGAAGATGCCCACCGGGGGGGAGCCAGCCACAAAAGCCTCCTTATGTCACACAGCAGCCAGGTGCCCGGGGTAAGCAAACTGAGCCAGTGCTCCCTTGCCAGGGGCTGAGTGCCGCCTCCAGGACTTAGCACAGTTTATTTACTGAAGGAGACCAGCAAAGCCAGAGGAACAGATGCTCTGTTTGCAGAGACACAGTTGAGGTCCACACCAGCAGAGCCAGCAGCTCCCCTCTCTACATAGCTCACAGTGACCTACAGCAAAATGCTGCAGCCTCTGCAGCTCCTTCACTTTGCACAAAGCTAGCCAGGTCAACTTCACTTTCTGTTCCTTGTCCTCTCACTTCCTGTGACTGGGACGCAGTTACATCCCTCGCCTGCCAGCCTCAGAGAGAAAGGAGTGCTGGCAAGCACTGCCATTTTGACCAAAGTGCATTCCAGGATTCAACCCCCAACATTATTAGATTCCC